AGGTAGTTTTACACCAAGTCAAGTAACAACAACTTCTTCCTATCTTAGAATACTAAAATAACAAAATCTTTTAATGCTTCGAATATTGAAATGCTTTGGTTCCACCTGCCACTTTTTTAAAAGTGTAAAAACTACATCTATTGGTTAAACTTTTACCCTAGAGATGCGCCTAACTTACAAATACAGTTATATTAATAAAGATACGAAATGTAATGTAAATACATTTTTTTGGCAATCATCATATGCTTCACACTATGCAATTATGCAACTCTCAGTTCGATTCGGGCATCCAAACTGTAAAAAAATGGCCAAAATTTTCCAAAATTAACAATAATCTTGGATGTTTTCAGTCTGGGGCTAAGCTGGAACCATGAAGACCACAAGACAGTTCAGAAACCATTGAGCTCCTGCCCTCAGAAAGCAGTGTCACCTTAGCAAATCTCATTTTGCTCACCCCAAAATGAAAGCATCTGCCACCGCGAGTCCCTCCTGAAAACTTTGGCCACTACAGCACAGCATCTCATCTTCAGTTTTAATGTTGGTGAGGCAGGAAAGTATGGTAAAGGGTTTCCCCTGGCAAGTACCGTGTTCGTCACAACAACAAGAAAAAAGAATACATCGAGTGGCTCTTTCTAGCGCAGAATAGCTCCTGCTAAAAAAAGACATCTTCTTTTCGGAAGTCTGGTAAACATTTGAATTTGCTGGGAGAAGTCCGTACGCAGGCCAGGCCGGGGAGACACGGGCAGGTGTGGTGCATCCGCCGCCCGGAGAAGGGAACCTGGGGAAAAAAGAGCAGAGACATCAGGGGACAGGGAGCACAGCGGCGACGGTGCTTGGGATGGATGGATTCGGATGAACAGCAGGGATACGGGGAGCGCCGCCCACCTCCCTCCACGGCGGGAGATCCCCACGAGCTGCAGCAGAGGGGCCGGAGAGCAGATGGCAAAACCAACCCCACTACATTTCCCAGTCAAGCCACAGTTAAGAGCAAAATGTAAACGGTCCATGTTGCTGTGTATATCTACATCTGTGACACGTTATGCATTTATTCCCATTTCATAAAGCCTTCTGTTGTGAAACTGCACTGGCCTTTAGCCTGGCGTTTACTGTGCAGGGGTATCTGCTCGCCGCTTGAATTGCCGTACAGCACAGAGCAGCCTGTCAGCTGCGTAGCCAGACCGGGGAACCACAGGATCCCGTGGTAATTCAGGCTGGAAGGGATCTCTGGAGGTCATCTCGCCTGACCTCCCTCTGAGCAGGATCCCCTGGCCATAGCACAGAGGTTTCTCATTTCGTCCCACCCTCCTCCAGCCACCCTGTGTTGCAGGGAGCACACGCACGGACTGCATTAAACAAATTTAATTGCGCCACGACGCACACATGCACTGACACTCTCTAACAACTTGATTACAAGCTCCGTCTTTTACAGAAGCTGTGCCTCCGCCAGTACGTGAGCCAAGCAGGACAGCGCAGTGGGACGGCGTGGCCAGGAGCCTGCGGTGGTGCCGGCCAGCAGCGTGCGCTGAACATCCGTCGAGATGCAGTGAGGGAAGCACAGAGGTACAAAGCCACCGCTGCCAGCTGGGCAGGCAGCCCTAATTCCCTCATTTCCTGACTTCTGGGCATTTCGAACCTGCGATTTTAATATTCTGAGATTGTTTTGTGTCAGTGTGCAATTTTTCTCTTTAGGAAAGTCGAAGGGAGAATGTCCCACATGTTCCCCTGTGTGTCATGCCGAGGACCTGCCCCACTCCAGTGACAGCCTGCTGGGTGCAGGGGGTGAGCGGGGGGCTCACATCGTCTGTGGTGCCCTGGGCCAGCGCCAGCCCCCTGCCCAGCACTGTCACAAGAGCAGCCCCGGAGCGAGGGATGCCGTGGACTTCCCCGTGCCATCCACCATGGCCCCTCTGCCCTGGCGTGAGCAGAGGTGCCACCGACCGCGGGTGCTGGGGATTCCCTGCGGGAATCACACCTCTCGGGTGCCCACACACAGCGCTGCAGAAAAACCTAAACTCTGAGCTCCTCGGGCTGGTGAGGCTGACTCAGAGGTACCTCTCAGCCCTCCGACAGCTCAAATGACTTATTCAAAACGTTACATTCGCTGCAAAGAAATGCTACTTTAAGCAGCACTCCCACGCTGAAGACATGGCTTAATAACGCACCGGGCTGGGGACAGGGGGTGACAGCTCTGCAGGAGCTTTGCCGTGGCGTGCAGCTTGTGCCTGCACAGGCAGAGCCCACGTGCCCGGAGCCGGTGCCGGTGATGCTGGCTGAGCCCGTGCATGCTTTGCCACGCCATGTCCCCAGCACCAGGTTTTAATGAGAATCGGGCAATGGGAGTTTGGAGGTGAAAAGGAAACAAGGGAGATGCTGGGAGAGATGTTGGGGGTTATGTGCGAGGTGCACAGCGGTGGCGAAGCCACCTCTGGTGCTGCCACCTCTGTCTGCTGACCCACCAACCCTCACCTGCCTGGCCCTGCCTGCACACCCTGCCTCCTTGCCCGCACACCCTGCCTGGCCCTGCCTGCACACCCTGCCTCCTTGCCCGCACACCCTGCCTCTGCAACGCCAACGGAGATCGCTAACGGCATCCAGCCAACGCCATCTAGTTGCTGAGAAGGAAATTAGATGGTGGAAACCCAACCACCAGCCATCTCCTCCAGGGTATCTCCAGGCGGTGGCACGGCCATGGTGGTGCCTGCTTTGTACCTGACCTGCAGGCAAATGAAAGGTTTTGGTGCTGAGGGCAATCGGTCTCTCAGCTGCCCGCTACCCAAATACTTAGGGGAGAGGAACTGTTGAGCTAACTCTCCATCCTTAAAACCACCTGATTTCACATACTACACTAAATCAATTTGCTTTGTGTTTGTCATGAAGAGCAGTGGGGTGAGGAATCTTAATCTGAAATTAACCTCATAAAGCTTATAAACATCAGTGACTATGACTAAGTCTGGGGTGGACAGGCGTCTTCTCTGATTGCAGTTATGCAGGCAATTAGCTTAAAATATATCAGACAGCATAAATTATTGCCCAATAGTAATAAGCTCATAAAAAACCCTCAAAGACAATCTCCTTTATCCTGTAACTCCTGTTACTGTAAAGAGCCCTTAGAAGAAAAACCTGCTGCATTATGTAGCAAAACCGAGAATTTGGTCCCAAATATCAAATATCAAAATGTAAAAATTTAACTGTAAGAGAACAGAGCCTTGAAATTCCTAAAACTGAGAAAATAAACGATAGATACTGAGCTGAGAAGCCAGGCATTGGGTGAGAGAGTGAGGGAGGCAGGTAGCTAGCTGCACAGTTATAATCTAAATTCATTGCTGTGATAGCTTTCATGCGTGATGACTCTCGGGCCATAGTCTTCCCTGAGGATGGCTCTGAAGGCCACCGGGTTCTCAAGCTCCTTGCTAACATCCCATTCCATCTTTTGTATACAAATTGTATTATTTATAAATAAATGGCCTTTTTCATACATCTAATATACATAATTACATACCCTTAAATAAATGTATCGGTTAGTGTCACTATATTAATATTATAGTGTATCATATAGTAATGTACTAATATGTAACTAGTGTTATATATGTGTATATATGTATACGTATATATATATTCAAATTTAATAGGTAGAATAGGAGTGAAGAGAGCCTGCGGTGAGTTTTCTCAAGAACAAGTGTGTCAACACTTTCTCAGCGGCTTTGGAAGGCACCAGTGGCTCTCAGCCTCTGGAGCGCAACTGGACATAGGTGTTTGATGGCAGGGACCGTGCTGCAGTGATGCACCGGGTGTCCCTGGTGACGTTTTTATGCTGGTGATGGGCCCTTGTCCAGTTCAGCTGAGGTCGGCGGGGTTTGCAAGGCTGCTGCTCACACACGTAGGCAGCGTTGGGCTTGGGAACCGCTGAGGCTGTTTCGGATCGCGTAATGAAGCAAAACAGCAACAACAAACTAACAAGAAAACAAACTGAAAAGCGTGTATTACTTTCATCCTCAGATTCTCTTCAGCATAATTCTGACAGTAATGTATTTCCTTACGTAGGTACCTTCAGCGCTATTTCCATACAGATGCAAATGGCCGGGTATTGTAACGTACGGGATGTTTCTCTGCCTTTTCACCACGGATAGTTTTTATGCAATGTGACTTACAGCGCAGTATATTCCTGTTTCTTTCTGCCCTGCCAGCTGTCCCGCCCCGGTGACGTACTCACTCGGTGACTCAAAGGATGGCACTCCTCTCCCAAATTTCCCATCGGCGTGCACATTCGCAGGCTGCGGATCCACAGGCTCACCGCACAGCACATCCCTCCTCCGCACTGCTGGTCTCGGTCGCAGGCCTGCAGTTCAATACAGCAGGAAGCAAACAAAATGAATAATAAATATATTCCAGAAATAGGACAGATTAGGTGCTCAGGAGCTGCCTCAGACACCCCACAAGTTATCATGGCTGAATAACAAGATTTAAGGCTGATTCGCAATACTAGTATCTCCCATGGGTCTGAACATAGAGGCTCCTGGCACGTTTCAGAGCTGAGCCCGGGATGTTTAAAGCCACAACCACACACGGAGCTGCTCAGTGCCAAATCCAGGACCGTCAGTGATTTCCAGTCCCACCTTCTGAGCACTGATGGACCGTGGCACATCCCACTCTGCTTTTCCAGATCGGAGCCTGAGTGAGCTCAGGCAGGTGGAAGGACCAAGCACACCAAACAGGCAGGAACCCTGTCTCACGGAGAAACCAAGATAGGAAATTATCCATTAATTTAAAGACTTTTAAGTAACTATTCCTTCTAGTTTCTCATGACAATATCCTATGGTTGAGCGCCTTTGCAAATGCAATACTGCATGATAGTTTTATTAGAGAAGTCCAAGTAGAAGTAGCCAAAATAGAAGTTTAAATGTGGGTTCTGTGGTTGTTATCTAGAATGACATGTAACTAAAAGAGGTCTTAAATGTGCAATAGAAAAAGCTTTGCGTAAAGTGTCCACATCCAAGAAAACGCTACTGCGGTAGTGTTCCCCCTGCAAGGGGAGGAAAAATATTTCAGCCACTTACCCAATACAGCTTAGATAAGCACAAACCAAAATGCAAACTATTGGGTATGTTTTAAAAACTAGAAACCATGAAGAGCAATTGACGTGTTTGGGTTTGAAAACAGGTCACTGCACATCTTTTGCTTATTTTTTAACCAAAAGCTTATCAGACTTTTTATTATATGAATTTAATATAGAAACCAGTCTTTCTCAGATGAGAAATTCCATTAGTTAAAGGTTCTGATAGTTTTAAAGATAAGCTTAATGAACTCCCTACTCTTCTAGTGTCTGACAGCAGAAGTGATAGACCAAAGGCACCGGTCAGCAATACATAAACAGGCAACTTGGAAAAAAAAGTACCTAAAAGATGGTAACGGCTCTGGGGAAAACTGGGTATTGGAACAAACATTCACTTGAGGAAAAAAGCTTACAGATCTCACCTTGGGATTTATATGATAAATACCATTAGACTGTACTCTACTGGGTAAATATTACACTAGTTCAACCAGCAGAAGCCAGATCAAAATACACGTTTACAGATCAGCCAGTAATTTAGGAAAAAGCTGTTGCATTAGTGTCGAGCTATTAAATAGACTAGCACTCCTCCTAAACACACATTTAACGAAGCAGGCAGCTCTCACGCTACAGGTGAGCCCAAACACACAGAGTATTTACTTATGAGACTAATATGGCTGTAAAACTACCACTACAGCCTGCCAGGTAGATAAGGTTTACTTTCTAAACTCTCTAAAAAAAAAAGTAAATTAATAGCCTTCTAATGGTCTAATTTTGCCCTAATCATAAAAAACCTGCAGGTCCAGTGATTTTGGCTGCTGCCACCGGCACGCCAGCATCCACTGCTCAGCTGGAGTCCCAGGCTCTGTTATTCCTCACCAGTGAGCTCCTGACCCCCTTTTTATCTCAGTTGTATCTCAAACCCCATCCACCTCCGTGGGACTGGCCCTGGAGTGAAGTACCACTCAGCTGCAAAACAGGTCTGAGTGTGTCCTACCCAGCGAGGTGATCTAACACACCACGCCGAACAATTTCTTTTTAAAGCTCACACAGGCATATATACATCTGGCAGAGCTTTTAAGGCTCCCTTTCCAAAAATGTATGACAAGCTTTGAAAATATTCAACCCAAATGCTCCTGCCCACACCTTATCTCCAACATGTAATTCATACTTCTACTCCGGATATTCACAGGACACAACAAGAAGGACTTTCCTTTTCAGCGCCCCATTTAAACACAGTTTTGTGGAAAATTCAGCTCGAGGAAAAAGTCCCAGGTGAAATGCCGGGTCAAGGCCAGTTGAAGTCGGCACATGAACTACCACTGAAGTGAGTGGGGTTTGGAATCAAGTCTTTAAATTGCAAAGGAAAAGCACCTTCCAGGCTCAGAGGATGGGGACGGGAACACCTATGTCAGCTCTCATCTGAGATTTGCCCATTCATCAGATGCCAAAAATGCATCAAAGTGGTTTAAGCAGAAATGCACTGCAATAGTTAATAAAGTAACATTTTCTAGTTCTAATCTATTTTTACTTTTTGAATCCACTTTATCCTTGATCTGTTATTCAGCGCTTCACAATTACTTTATTTAATGGGTTAATTATGCTTTAAAGGTGTAGCCACAACTTGAATAACAGACCTATATAAACTGGTCCTCCATTGCTGGGAATATTTCTATTTAAAAGGAACTTGAAATTCTCAAATATTAAAAAATTCCTTCACACACTCTGCTCTGAAAATTAATCAGTCCTGGGAACTGATCTGACCTCCAGAGAAATGCCTATGAGATGTTTCATGGACTTCGGTGAAGTCCGGACAGGGAGCCTGGACAGCCACGGAGTAATCTGCTGCTGTGAGTACAACTTCTGATGGTTACAAAAGACATGTAAGCTCTCGAAGGAATGCAAGTGCTGGGTTATTAATCCAAAGCAAACACTAAAAAAATCATTTTACTTAAGAGTGATGCAACACTTTGGGTTAAATAACGTCTTTGGAAAAAAAATATTTTCACAACCAAAGTAAATCTCAAGCCTGAAAACAACAACAACAACAGAGGACTCATTTGCAATGGGTGGCTAGTGAAGAAAAAAAGCAGCACAGTCATACTCAGAAAAAAAAAAAAAAAGGCAAAAAAAATCGCAGCATTTTGTGGTGATTGCAATACCGGTGCCTCCTCTGTAAGCTGTAGGACTGGAGGAACTCAGGGTGCACAAGCGGGCACAAGCCCGGCCCTCCCGGGGCAGGTTTGGGGACACCCGGGGCAGGGGGCTGCATGGTGGAGGCAGCCTGCAGCCCTGGAGAAGAAGCGTGAGCCTCTGCACACTCCCGGACCCCAGCCCGGAGACACCCCCCCGCCGAGTGCAGGCATCCCTCACCCCGGAGGGACAGACCCTACACCGTGGCATCCCTCACCCCAAAGGGACAGACCCTGCACGGTGGCATCCCTCACCCCAGAGACCCGCGAGTCCTGGTATCTCCCACCGCAGAGAGACACCGCCCCCCATATCCTGGCATCACTCACCCTACAGAGACCCCCACGTCCCGGTATCACTTATCCCAGACAGACCCCCAGCTCCGGGGGCATCCCTTACTCTAGAGAGACCCCTCTTGTCCTGGTGTCACTCATCCCAGACAGACCCCCAAGCCCTGGCACCTCTCATCCCCTGGCACAGCCCTCCCTTCCCCGTCCTGGTTATCACTTACCCCAGAGAGACACCCCACCAGCCCTCACCCTACGCGAGACCCCTCTGCCCTGGCATCACTCATCCCGGACAGACCCCCGAGTCCCGGCACTGCCCACCGCAGAGAGACCCCCGCCTTCTCCGGTCACCCCTCACGGCAGAGAGACCTCCCCTGCATCCCGGCATCACTCACCCCCACCCCGTCCCGCTCTCGCTCACCGCAGACAGACCCCCAAGTCCTGTCCCCGCTCCCCCCGGCGGAGTGGTTCC